AAAAATAAGATAAAAAAATAAAAGATAATCAGATAAATAAAAAATTTTAAAAGTAAAAAAATTAAAATTAAAAAAATTAAAAAAGTGATAAAAAAAGTTTTAAAAAAAAGAAAAAAAATTAGAGGTGCACTAAAATGAAAATTTCAAAACCGAAATGAAAAATAAAATGTCAGGCCGAAACCAAATGTTTTCTAACCTTTTCAATTTTTTTTGAAGCAGCTGTCTGAGGGCGTGCGGGGTGGGGGGGATCGCTAAAATACACCTTTGCCTGTGTTGGCAAAAATCCTTGAATCGGCCCTGCCTAGAACCTAACTCCCTCACTTCCCAATGACTTACATTTTATGCAGGGTTTCAATGTACTTGGTTTCTATTTGCAACCATTCCTTCAGGAACCTAACCCTGGTGTAAATTGAGGGCTACATGTAAATATATATTTTTTTTTTGGCAAGATGGTTTGGATATATTTTATTATAGTAATTCCTCAACTAATAGAGTTGTTCTATCAAACCAGAGCAAACAAAGAGTTAAGTGTTCAGGGAGGATCTCATTATACATGAAACGGCTCGCATTGTGAATGATCTTTTACAGAAATATTTTTAACATTCACTTCTGTGTACCGGACGGATCAGCCGCTCCCAGCTTCTCCTTCTACTGAGTCATATCAGAACTTTATTTTTTGCCCCAGAATGACGACTTCTGACCTGAGAGAGGAGCTGGACTGTTCCATCTGCCTGGACCTTTATAAGGACCCCGTATCGCTGAAATGTGGACACAACTTCTGCTGGGACTGTATTGTGACTGTGCTGGATACACAGGAGGGGTCTAGCCATTACTCCTGCCCGGAGTGCAGAAAGGAGTATACAAAGCGTCCTCTACTGGAGAAGAACAGGAAGTTGTGTAACATTGTGGAACGTTTCAGATCTGCTCACCGGGAGGAAACAGAGGTCTCGTGTACGTATTGTGATCCTCCTGTACCAGCTACTAAATCGTGTCTGCACTGCGAGGCCTCATGTTGCAAAAAACACTTAAGCAACCACAGCAAGTCAGCGGATCACATTCTAATTGAACCCACCACATCATTCAAAGACAGGAAATGCTCCACACATAAAGAGATCCTGAAATATTACTGCACAGAGGATAGAGCTTGTATCTGTATGTCCTGCTGGGTGGCTGGAGACCACAAAGGACACCAGGTGGAGCTTCTGAACGAGGCCTCTGAGAAGAAGAAAGAGAAGCTGAAAGATGTTACTGAGAAACTGAACTCCGAGAGACAGAAGACTGAGAAGAGAATCCAAAATCTGGAAAATCACAGGACACAAGAGAAGGGAAAAGCCGCTGATGTCATCGGGAGAGTCACTGAGCTGTTTAGAGACATCAGGAAACAGCTGGATGGTGTAGAGAAGAGAATCCTGACCGAGGCCTCCAGACAGGAGGAGCAGATCCTACTGAAAGTCTCAGATCTCATTCGGCAGCTGGAGACACAGAAGGACGAGCTGACCAGGAAGGGGAATGAAGTTGAGGACTTACATAAGATCACAGATCCATTAACTGTGCTAAAGAAAGAAATGATCAGTGATGACATCATTCCTGGGAGTGGTGACACCAACAGTGATGTAAGAGATGCCGGATGTCTGGATGAAGGAATGATCTCACAGATGCTCCACAGAGGACTTCTCCATTTTACTGACAGTCTGATAGATCTGAAGATCAAGAGACAGTTCCCAGTGATGGAGAAATCAGACATCTCACTGGATATAAACACAGCCAATTATTATATTATTGTTTCACAGAATCTCAAATCAGCTACTTACACTGATAAACCAGAGACCAGACCAGATGTTCCAGAGAGGTTTATATGCAGACAGGTAATAAATACACGCAGCTTCTCATCAGGGAGACATTATTGGGAGGTGGATGTGAGTGGAGCAGAGGAATGGCTGATCGGGGTGGCCAGTCAAAGCATTGAAAGGAAGATAGATGGAAGTGAATCTTACATAGGTTATAATGTCAAATCATGGGGTCTGACCCAAAGAGGAAAACTTTATGCCAAGCACAAGAACTCTACTATATATTTAGGCTCGATCTCTTCTTTAAAGACTGTCGGGATCTATCTGGATTATGATGCAGGACGTCTGTCCTTCTACCAGCAGTGTGACCCAATCAGACACCTCCACACCTTCACCGCCACCTTCACTGAGCCTCTCTATGCCGCTTTCTATGTGTTTAAAGATTCCACCATAAGAATCATATAATGCTCACCTAAGTGCTGAAATTCATCTAGAAGCTCAGAATCAGGAAACAAATCTATCTGTAAATATGTAGTAAGTATTCATGAAGGAAAGTCCCCTGTAGTAATACTACACACTATTAAACTCTGACTGTTCTCCATAACATGATATTACCACGGTATAAAAATGAAGATGTCATTGTTGGACTGTTGTTCCTCCATGTTCCCATGTACTGCATCTCCAATGAAAAAAGACAAATAGCTTTATATTAATGTTCTTATTTAAACAATACAGGAATAAGGATGAGAAAATTAGGGTAACAAGGGTCATCAGGACTTCTTCCCTCTCTACCAAGACAAAAAGTGTTCTTTATTCTGGCTCTGCTGTGATATCATTGGAGAAATGTCCCATCACCTCCTGTCCCGTTGACCTGGGGGCCTCTGAGGAAGTCCGGTCCTCTGGGATGAAACTACATTAATAGTAGAGTGGTGTCCCCTGCTGGACCCTGCTACCAAAACACTTTTTAAAAAATCTTCTGAGCCCACTAAACTGAAATTGTTCATAATCCAACTACAGACACAGGAAAAGCTTTGGGTTTATCTCGTGTGAATGAAGCAACTTTTAAGATGGCTCAAGGGCCACAGATTGCTTACTCAGTGGCTAATAGTCACAGATCTGATCAGCTCTCTTAAATAAGCTTTGTCGGGTTTTCCTGTGGGGGTTTATGCTATTCCAATGGTGACAGTTGTTCCCGGGATATCTGTCTAGTTCCCTCCCTAATGAGACACAGATGACTTTAGATATACTTAAGTTGGATTACTGTTAATGTGATATTATTGCATACGGTTGATTGAATAGTGGGTGCGGGACCCTGTAAGGGTTTTAATTGTTTATCACTGTTATTTTTTTTCTGGAATCATATCTGGTTGTACATATAAGTAACATGTTATCGTAATAGATTCTAAAATCAGATTTAATTTCTGACCTGAGGTGTCACTATAGTGGCGCACAGTGTTTAATTGCATTGACTCAGTAATACACTTTACTAGAAATCTAATTGTGGTGGGATTTTGGGTGCGAACGGTTGATATTATTGCATACGGTGGATTGAATAGTGGGGGCGGGACCCTGCAGGGGGTTTTTATTGTTTGTTGCTGCAATTTTTTGCTGGAGTTGTATTTGTTGGCATAGTAATACACTTTACTAGAAATCAAACTATGGTATGGTTTGTGGGTGTAAGCAGAGGTCTCCGGTGTTTATAAGTAGATCCAGTTGTATAGGCAGCTGAATAATATGCAATATGGTGTAACTATAACCAGAGAAACCCATGCAATTGTTACGGGGCCCAGCAAAACTGGGGGTCCTAACACTGTCTTTCTACATAATAAATGATACAGATTGTAATAGTCGGAATACTTATACAATTTGAGAACCTTATTAAAAAAATATGAAGGTAGATAAGATTTCTAGACGGATTGCCTTGGGGATGGAGAGTAGAGAGAAATGGACCTCTTAATAATCTTGCTATAGGGCCCCCTTATACATAATTACACCCCAATATATGCCGTTTTTAACTTTTCGTTGAAAGCTTTATTCTCACTGATTCCAACTCCTTAGTGTTCATATTTGTTAAAGACACTTCACATCACATTAATTGACCAATAGGAAAGCTCAGTAGTCAGAAAGGGGAGGTACAAGCTCGATTGTAACAGGAATAGATGAGATATGTATATATATGGCGTATATTTAGCGATCTCTATCTCTGCGTTTGCTTATTGATTTTAATGTTTGATTTTCGATGTCCGTGTTAGAGATTAATTTTGAATGTGAAGAATTATGACGTCCAATCATAGATTAGAATGATTCTTTTTATGCAATTAATCCACATACAGGACTGAGACAGATAGAAGTTACCGCAGAAATTGATGATTGTGTGTGGCCCCAGTCAGAGCGAGTACAGTGGATTGATGTATAACTGAGCTGTGTCTCTATAATCAGTGGGGGGGATTTATCAAAACTGGAGGAAACAGAATCTGGAGCAGTTTCCAATCGCAACCAATCAGCATCTCTCTTCAGTTTGCTCGGGCAAGATTTGAAAATGAGAGAGAGAAGCTGATTGGCTGCAGTGCAAATCTACTCTATCAGATTTTGTCTGCTCCAGTTTTGATAAATACAACCCAATGCGCTTTATTTGCATTGTATATAAGTATCCATCACAAGGGGAATAAACTCTTCTGTAACTGGACTTTTACTTGATGTGCTAAGGCTCCCCACCAGTCATCTAGTAACATCCATATCACATCCATATACATGAGAACAATTGAGATGGTCAACAGAATCATAAGTAACATAATTCTCAGTTCATTTTATGTGTTTTCATCCATTTACTTATTTTGGGGACTGGGGGAAATGATTACTTTGATGTCTGGAGTTGGATAGTTCATGTCTTGTACTGACACGTTACACTGAGCTGCACATCTTCTGCAATGCAATGTCTGGTATTGTGTTACATGCGTTTACTGCACCAATCATCATTTATTGCCAAAGCTTCAATAAAACTAAGATTTCTCTGACAGTAAGTGTGTTGTTGTTGTGCAATCTAGCTAGGCCGCCAATCCTGGTTACAAGCTGTTATCTTTTTGATCTCTCTGCTCCCAATAAAAGATACATAAATGGACTTTGATAAGCTTTGGCACCTATGTAAACCTCCGATAGCAGCCATCCCTTATACAGGAAAGAGAAGAAGTTTACAGGAAAGTGGAGAGAAAATGTCAGAGCAATGAGCTGTACTGGAAACACTCATGCTGGAAAATGTCTAATGTTCAGTCTTTTACTGTTTAACAAGGACAGGAAATGACCCTTTTAATGCAGCACCTGATGTCACAATATGCTGGACATAAGTGTAATGGCGGAATTCAGAAAATGTGGATTGCTTTGAGAATACATTAAAATGACTCTGTTACCAAAATAAGTTTCCAAAGGATGGGTTGATATGCTTAGTAGTTCAGCAGGTAGTGACCCCGAGCTTCATCCTCTTGCAGAGCTAAAGCGACCAAACAAATCTGCTGTATGTGTCGCAGTTCCAGGTGTGTTGGATGACTGTTTCCCCCCTTTGTGAGTTACCGTTCCTTCCACCGGCTCTACAGTAGTAATGTAGCGCTGGCAGGTAGGGCCCATGAAAACACAACACGCAGTAGTCATAGTGGGCATCCAACACTCCAGGAAGCATGTTGTATGCTGAAGATTCTTTGGTCATTTTAGCTCTACAAAAGATTGCAGACTGGGGTCATCTCCTGACACAATGGTAAGTATATAATTCTTCTTCTGCAAGGTGACCTTTTAACATTTGTTTCCTGAAAGTGTTGCTTTATAGCTGATCTTCTGTCTACATAATGAAAAAAAAACCCTAACAGCCCAGTTTACATACGCAAACCTATAGTCATCTGAGAGGCCGGTCCCCGGTCTTCTCTCTTCGAGTCTACAGTGTCCAAACTTCTTGCAGTTCCCACATTGCTCCATCGGTGGAATCCTAAAGGGGGTCATGAAGATATTCAGAGTCAGCATCATGACATGACCACGCAAGGCTGGTAGACAGATCCTGACTGCAGCAGGTCTCCACTACCAGAAGAGGTGCTGCAGAGGGTTACATGGACTCCAGTAAGTACAAGATGATTAGAGGTTTGTTTTTTCTTTTAATACAAATGTTGTTAGGATTGTGGAAGACTTGGGGCACCCGGGGGAAAACTAAGGCCTGGTTCACACCTGACCGTTTTGTAGCGCGTCCTACGCTCGATGAACGCTCTACAAAACGGTCAAAAAAATAAATAGCACTGTAGTCAATGGCCTCGTTCCCACCTGTCCGTATTTCCGCCCGTCCCGAACGCACTACAAAACGGCCCACGCATGAAAAGGTCCCGGAGCGTTTTTTGCTGCGTATTGGTCCGTTTTGTAGGGCGTTTTCCATTAGTATACTGCCAAGTAGCCTTTGGAATCGCGCGACGGTCGCGCGGCTTTTTTACCGCGAATCGCGGTAAAAAAACCGCCTGACGGTCGCGCGACAGACGCGCATATTACAATACGCATAGGTGTGAATGGGGCCTAAGGAAAGCAACTCTGTGGCATGTATAATGAGGGGTGTGAATGTCCAGATTCCACCTACCAGTGGTAGAGGTATAGGATAAACTGAGTCTGAGCCAACTTGCTGTATACACTGCACTCATACATCACAGTCCTTTCATTACTGTGCTAGTCTCGCAGACACATAAACCTCGGCACAATGGATCATTTCTATAAAATGAAAATCTTCCATTATATATACACCTTGTCTGATCACACTTTAAAGTGACATTAATGTTAATGTCCCCCCATGTTAATGTTAGCACTTACCTTAAATGATGTCTTTTAATCCGATCTTTTTCTTCTTTCCTCATGTTTCCATCTGTCCCTCCAGTGGTGCGGCGGCTCTCCGATCCAGCGGTGTCTGCATTCGGGTGCACGCGTCCATAGACTTACCTTGCGTCTCTGCTCGTCTCCCGGCCGAAAATCCGAACTGCGCATTCGCCCGCCCCAGGATCCTTTGCGGCTGCACAAGGAGTACCGATTCTCAGCGCGGGAGCACGCAGCGGTAAGGAGGTAAATTTAATCTGCCGTTAAAACGTTTTTGTTTTTTTAACTTTTTGACTATATCCACTGCTTGCTAGCAGTAGATATAGGCAGAAAAAAAAACCGGAGGGTTTAGAACCACTTTAAAGAAGAATTTCATTAAAGTTGATAGGAACTATTGTGAAACCTACTGTTAAGGCAATAAACAGCTTGATAAGGAGTATGCAATGTACAACATAGCATATAGAGTGCAGCAGTCAGGACTATGTAATGTACAACATAGCATATAAAGTGCAGCGTGCAGGACTGTATACCTTACAATGTAGTATAGAATGCAGGAGCAGACAGATAAGCCATCAATTCCATGTTTGTCTCCTTACATGTTTCCTATAAAGCTGAGTTTCAGACTAACATAGTTCAGA